AAGAGGACGGGGAAGACATCGTGTTGACTGATATTCATGGGAATTTCATCCCAGTATCGAATTCCAGCTCAGAAGAGGACGATCCGTTTTCAGATGATTTTGGTAATAACTACCTGCATTTAGATTTTGACAACAAACGATACACGTCCAAGTTAACATTCAAAGGATCGAGACTAGTGTACTTCACATCAGCATTTGTCAGTTTGTTTCTTGCCTTATTTGGTGCCGAACAAGCCTCGTGTTCCGGGTTGATTGTATTTGATACGTTTAATAAATATTTCAATCACCCGAGTCCTGCCACCATCGGTGTGGTGGTGTCTATATTAGAAATTGGTGCCATGTTGAGTTCGTTGTCGGTGGCCAAGATCTCGGATCTGTTTGGCAGGAAAAGAACCATTCTTCTTGGGACATTCTTGTTTATGGTTGGTGGGAGTTTGCAGACATTTTGTCCCAACATGTTTGTGTTTGGTGTTGGAAGAGTGTTTTCTGGGTTTGGTGTGGGGATTCTATCGACGGTGGTTCCGTCGTATCAGTGTGAAATCAGTCCAAGTGAAGATCGTGGCAAGTTGGTGTGTGCTGAGTTCACCGGGAATATCACTGGGTATGCCATGAGTGTGTGGATTAACTATTTCTGTTATTTCATCCAGGACATTGGTGATACTAGAGACAAGCCCCATTCGTTTTTGGCCAACTTAAGCTGGAGGTTGCCGTTGTTTATCCAAGTGGTCATCGCGTTTGTGTTGTTTCTTGGTGGGTTTTTCATTGTGGAATCGCCAAGATGGTTGCTTGACAACGACATGGACCAACAGGGGTTCCATGTGTTGGCATTGTTGTATGATTCCCACAGTGACGACAGCAAACCAAGGAATGAGTTCTTCATGATCAAGAATAATATCCTCCAGGAAAGAGAAACCACCCCGAAGCTGCAACGTACATGGAGACACTTGTTGAGTCATTTCAAGATCCGAGTCTTTGTTGCTTGCTCGTCGTTGATCTTTGCCCAGTTCAATGGTATCAATATCATCTCGTACTATGCACCATTGGTTTTTGAGCAAGCGGGGTTCAACAACTCCAGTGCGTTGCTCATGACGGGGATCAATGGGATTATTTACTTGTTGTCCACGATTCCAACATGGTTCTTGGTTGACCGATGGGGAAGAAGACCCATTCTTATCACGAGTGGTATTGCCATGGGTATATGTCTATTCCTCGTGGCGGTGTTCATGCTCTTGGACAAGGGTTATACACCTACATTGGTGGCTATTTTAGTTATCATCTACAATGCATCGTTTGGATTTGGGTTTGGCCCGATCCCGTTCTTGTTGCTGAGTGAATCGTATCCGTTGTCAGTGCGTTCGAAAGGAGCTTCATTAGCCGTGGCGTGCAATTGGTTTAGTAATTTTGTTGTTGGGTTGATGACACCGATCTTGAAGGAACTGATCAAATGGGCGATGTACTTATTCCCAGCAAGTTCATGTGTGATGAGTGTTGTTGTTGTGATGTTGTTCTATCCAGAAACGAAAGGAGTTGAATTGGAAGAGATTGATCGAGTATTTGAGGAGTTCTATGCTACGAGTACGATGAAGAGAGTGAAACTAAAAGGATTACGTAGACGCAAGAGTAGAAAGAACAAACATCAAGGGAAGTATAGTAGATTGAATGATGATGCCTTTGAGATGGTGGGATTAGATGAGATGGATTATGAAAGTCATGAACCTAGCAGACGTGAGATGCTATAGTTTATGTAGAAGATTTACACTAGTAACTATTCAATTTTTATAAAGTATACAAAAGAAAAATGCTATTTGATATTTGCATGAATTAAGTTGGTTATTTTTCTCTAGTAGAGTGGAACCAATGGTGTTGATCGTGGTTCTAATTAATAAGGAAAGGACGTTTTGTTAAAATTTAAAAGGATCGCAGTTACGATTGCAAGATGAAACAAAACTCAATTTGACAGGTCGTGGGAGTGCGGAGTTTTAGTAATTGTACAAAAGCCATGAGTTGAGATGGCAATAAATTTATAGAATGCCTATCAATCGGCACTTTCTCTTGAAAAGGGCTTGTTTTGTTTCTTCATTTTCTTATTCAACAAGGCAATGAAAAAAAAGACCAAACCACACTCATAGTAAACAGAATGGTGTCGTTCGGTTTGCTTGTTTCCTTGTTTGAGTTTTATTAATCTCCTACAAAAAAAAAAGTGTAACAGTGCATTCCATTTCTGTGCCCGGGCATTTATCTTTTCTTTTTCTTTGTTTTATTAATTTCTTTACATTGCCGTTATCCTAACCATCTCGGGTATCAGCAAAAGATGACTCTTTTGGTTAGTATCAAAACCCACGTTGGTTTCAAGTTCTTAGATGCTTACACGTTGCACCAGCAATTATAAGTTCTTATAAATTAGTCAAATGGTTAGCTTCTTTGACGGTGATATGTGTTCATTCTTGTATTGTTAGTCGTGTGGTAAGAGAAAAAGCACGAGAAATGCCAGGTAGTTACGTGGCGTTTAATTCATAGTGCATTTGCCCCAATGCAAGTTTCGATTTTGTGGTGATTCTATTGCACCAGTATTTAGTTTAGTGTGTGAAAACAGATATGTGCATGGAAATAAGGTCTCCTTTGCATTTTTTGGGGATAGTGACAGCCAATTAAAAACGAATGACAGTAATGCACCATGTCAGATCAATGTGACTGGTTAGAATTGTCCTCAGATTGCTTGGTATTTCTCCTGTTTGGTTACATTACTATTGTATGGATTAAACTCTCTTTAGTGATAGATGAAGAAAAGGTTGTGAGCGATGTGCGTCAACCATTTGCCCGTTAAATATTTGTGAGGTGTTAAAAAATAAGTTTCTTTTTTTTTTGTTGTTGTTGTTGTTTTCTTGATGTTGCACAAAACAAATCTCTCTTCTTTTTTTTTCTCACATTTGCACACATTCTTCTTCTTGTTCTTCTATTTCACGGATATAATACCCAGTTTATTCTCTCCTTTTTTTTTATTAACTGAAATCCAATTAAATTCTATTCAATAATAATAATATTAATTATATCTAAGTTTTACACTCGGGCGGTTAATCTGTTTGCTGTTATTATTATTTATTCTCCATAGATTATATTCACATTCATTCATCCATTTATTCTTTTTCCTCTCCACCATCAAAGTTATGGCAGTTTCAACAGACCAACATCTACATCATTCAATTACTGAAAAAGACAACTACGACACTTTAGGTCTACCCGGAATGCCGTTAAACTCAGATCATTTGAGTCAGAAATTACTGGACTTGATACCTCCATCACCTCAATTTTATAATAATAATGATAATAAAATACCATATCCACATCCACATCATCTTCAACACCATTCTAGCCATGAAAAACGTCTACTAAGACACAAGCTGTCTAAAAGATTAAATATGAAACGATCATTTAACTTAAGCAATCTCAAGAATTCCAACTCCGTAGACTCCCATCCGCTAACTGATAGTGACGAATTAAACGAGAATGATGACAGTAATAATGACGATACTGAATTAATGGAACTAGATGAATATGATTCAGATGAAGTGTCTTGTAATTCCTGTCTGTCTACTCCATCGAAATCAAACTTTAGTTTCCTGTTTGATACCCAATCATTAACTATTCCAAGTATACCCATGCAAAAACCACAATCGTATTCAAATACATCAATACTATCATCACTGACAGGTTCATCTCTCAGTTTATCTATTCTGACACGAACTCCATCTTCAATTTCATCAAGAGCATATATTCCTACATCTACAAGCACTGTTTCTTACTCGCCAGTTACTACCGTTTCTATACCTGCATCTACATCGTTACCATCAACTTCCGGAAGAGACAAGAGCTTGTGCCGTTCTCCTTCTAGTGATTCGTTATATGTGATATTAAAGAAGTCCACTCCCAGTCCATCCCCACTTGGAAACAACTCCGGTGTAAAGTCAATGTACTCCAATCTCACATCATCATTGAAATCATTCAGAAATAAGTTGTCTTTGTATAATAAAGAGAATCTTATTAGTTATATCGTGGATTCACCTCGACTCACAGATGACAAACTCCCACAAATTCCAGAATTGGAAAACGAGGTTGTGAATGAAACTGATGATCCGGTTGACCAAGATCATGTGATGCAAGAGTTGACAACGTTTAAAAGTTCAGGACCTCATCACTGTAGTAATAAGCTAGGGCTCACGAGAGTTAAATTCAAGACTAGGGAACAACGATCAAATAGAGAATTTTTACGATTATATGCATTTGATCATCATGCCAGAACCAAATCACGGGTATTGCCTAATAGTATGAGTCCAGACGAGATCAAAAAAATTATCAAGAAGCATCCACATATAAAGAAATTCCATTATGATTATAATATCCAGAGAATATCGAACTTGTCAAAGGATAAACTCTGGAGTAATGTTATTTTGCCTCCACGTAGTGATGAAAGTCCTGGATTGTTTATAGACGGAGAGAATTACATCTGTATTGAAGAAGTAGATGAGGATGAATTATCGCTGGGCTATTCTATCGTACGAAAACAAGGAGGATATATGCCCTGGGTTTTGAAACAAAGTATCAGACCAGCGGGTGTATTACCTAAAAGTAAGTGTATTTTTAATAGTGAAGCTCCAAATAGTGGAGTAACTAATTGTCAATTCACTGTTAAAGGCTGGTGTAACCCTAGATGGGTTGATATCAGTAAAGAATAATAAATAGGTTTTCAATAGATTATTATAACTGTACATAGTCTTTGAAATGATATGAATAATTCAGATTGATGCATTTTTTTAAGATCTCACATAATTTTGCAACTTTAATTTCTGACTGCGTGTCGTTTTTGTTCGTTTTGTTCTTGCTAGCAATTAGGGTTGTAACCCTAACTGCGATTTCTTTTTTTTTTTTCCTCATTCTTTTTTTTTTTTTTTCCATTTTCTTTACTTACTGCGCTCATTGGTTTTGTCGCACACAATGTGTGGTGCGAAAGCTGCTGGGCCTCTGATGCTCACTCATACAAAAACAAATTTTTCATCTTTCACCAGTGGTATATCCAGTTCTTATCAACCGTATTAACCACATCTCACAATGGCTCCAAAAGGTAAAAAGGTCGCTCCAGCTCCATTAGCTGCTAAATCCGCCAAATCCGCTGAATCTAAGAACCCATTATTGGAATCTACCCCAAAGAACTTCGGTATTGGTCAATCTGTTCAACCAAAGAGAAACTTGTCCAGATTCGTCAAATGGCCAGCTTACGTTAGATTACAAAGACAAAAGAAAATCTTGTCTATGAGATTGAAGGTTCCACCATCTATTGCTCAATTTTCTCAAACTTTGGACAAAAACACTGCTGCTCAAGCTTTCAAATTGTTCAACAAATACAGACCAGAAACTGCTGCTGAAAAGAAAGAAAGATTGACCAAAGAAGCCGCTGCTATTGCTGAAGGTAAATCCGCCAAGGATGTTTCTCCAAAACCAGTTGTTGTCAAATACGGTTTGAACCACGTTGTTTCCTTGGTTGAAAACAAGAAAGCTAAATTGGTTTTGATTGCCAACGATGTTGACCCAATTGAATTGGTTATTTTCTTGCCAGCTTTATGTAAAAAGATGGGTGTTCCATACGCCATTGTTAAAGGTAAGGCTAGATTGGGAACTTTGGTTCACCAAAAAACTTCTGCTGTTGCTGCTTTGACTGAAGTTAACTCTGCTGATGAAGCTGAATTATCTAAATTGGTCTCTACCATCAACGCTAACTTCATTGAAAAATACGAAGATAACAGAAGACACTGGGGTGGTGGTATCATGGGTTCTAAAGCCAACGACAAGATTGCTAAAAGAGCCAAGGCTGCCGCTGCTGCTGCCACTGCTAACTAAATAGTATAAAGGTCATATAAATATAGGTCATTGTACGAAATAGTTGTATATTATTAAAATATTAATGTTTGATAAAAAAGATAAGAATAATGTATTAAAGGTAATTGTAGCACTGGTTTATGTTCATGGTGTGTAGCCCCAATACCCTGTCTATTCTGATCTGTTATTTTTGATGACATTTTCATGAAATATTTGTACGAATTCTACAACAAAATCGTAAAGAATTAGTAATTCATAACTAAGACCACATCAAACTGATATTGTTGAACTTATTCTAGTACGAATCATACAAGAACGACCTCACATACTTCAAGTGCAAGAACTACATCAACTCAATATCTTCATGGGGGGGGGGGGGGAAGGCTATGAGAGTACTTGACGCGGTTTGAATTTCATTTTACAACAGGGCCCGGCTGCCAGGCGAGACAAAACAAAAACAAAATGTTGACAAAAAAAAAAAGTAAACAAAATGTTTGATCTCTGATCTGTTTGTTTTTACAACACAGGATACCCACTAACCAATCACACACATTCATATATCACCACCAACCCAAACAGAAGAATAGAACTTAATATGAATGAAATCACTACCAATCATGAACTGATGGTAGAGCAATTGTATGGGTTTATCACTAGTTTGGTATTTCCCGAGGCTGAGTCTCCTCCGATATGCAAAGAGGATGAAACAGCATTGGAGAGGTTCATATCAAACTTACAACAGGATACATTGTTCATAGTTCAGTCTTCAAATAACGAAGGTCATAAGATTTCAAATGACATATCTGATTTTGATTGTTTATACAAAGAATTATCCACATTTATCATCATAATTAAATCAAAGGGAATACTTAATGACGAGATCCCCCTTACACGACAATTAAACATTATCACCATTCCGATTTCAAATACCGATGATAATGAAGAGACTAATGATCTGTTTGAAAAACTTAGGCTTGCTATTAATATGGGGTTGGCACCATATTTTGATTTAATTTCTGCAACTAATGAAGAATCTGCATTGATGATGACAAAGAAAAAGTTTAACGAATTATCATTGGCATTACAGCATTTACAACAAAGAATTCATATACCCGACTTATTGGCAACTACTCACCCGAGAATAAAACAATTGATTGAGAAAAACGAAATTGATAACATTGACGATTTAATTGAAGATACGGCATTATTGAATGAATTAACATCCATAGCCAATAATTGGATTAAACAGATTCAATCAATTACTAGATTAACTCATGAACCATCTGATGGAGCTAGTATTACTGAAGATATCCAATTCTGGAAGTCCATGGATTCTGTATTGGCATCATTAAACCAACAAATTGCATCTTCTGAAATTAAGTTGACGAGAGAAATATTGAGCAAAGGGAAGAGATTTCATATTACATTGGGATTTGAAAATGATACTGGCTTGAATGAGAAGATTTCAGAAACAAGATTGTACAATTCATTTTTGAAAGAGCTACCAATAAACGACTTGATCATAATAACTGATGATGATGATCTTGAAAAATTCGACATTGTGATTGCTAGTATATTTAGCCATTTGAAACTGAAGTTAAATCTATTGCCACTAGAGAGAGCAGTCAAGTCTGTGGAAGTTATACTTAATGATATTACATCAAAGTTTCAGGAGCTCTTAGGAACTCATGATGTGATGTCTTTATCGCAACAGAAGTTTGAACAATTATATGATTTATGCCAAAAAGAACTTGGAATTATTGAGGCAAATATTAAGTATGTGATCAACTTGTTAAGGGAATTATTGAGAAAGAGACAAGAAAAATTTAAAATTATCACTATTGACCAAAGCAAATTTGAACAGATCCGTGAAAGATTAGATCATCTTAAGCTGTTTAGGATTAACCATCAAAATTTGTTGTCAAGTATTGACAACATTTTACCAATCGATGAAAAGTTAGACAGTTTAACTAGACTTAGGGATGCTTACAACAAGCATATAATACCTATAAATGCAGTTGATATAACTCATCAAGGAAAATTAGTTTGGTCAATGAATGAACAAGCGTATCTACAAGTTTTCCATGAGCTAAATACCTTGGTTATTAAAAGAATAAACACTTTCTTTGCCGATGCTACTAAGTTTATCGATGTGATTTCAATTTACAAGAAATTTTTCCAGTCTAAAGGCGCCAGTACCTTATTACTACTGATTAGTGATGAACATAAATTGAAGATTTTATCATTAGCAGACAAGGAAATAATGCAATTGGTCGAGATGAATTCAAGCTCTGGGAATAAATCAACCTACGAAGATATCAAATGGAAAATTCATGCTACTAATAAGTTGATGTTTTATCGTGAATTTTTAAGGTCATTCTTGGGTGATAATTGGAAAAACTATTCAATGGGTGCAAAAGTAGATACCACCACCAGCAGGTTAATCACAAGTTTGGATACCGATGCAGCCGTTCAATCCTGGATTGACACTGAAGTCAATCATAAAATGCCTACTTATAATATGGGTACTATAATTAAAATTAACGAAAGCTCCAGCGGTTTATTTGATTTACTGGTAAATTTCAGTTTTAACACTTTTGATATTTACAGCCAACTAAATCAGTTTCATCATTTAGGATATCAGATTCCTTCTTCTGTATTGTTGGAATATCAGAAAGTAAATCAGTTATACCCACTTGCTACTGGAGTTTACGACCATATTCAATTGCTCAACAAAATATTCAACCACGACCTAAGGTCCAAATACGGCGAGTCATACGGGTTTCTCATTAGCGCGCAAATCAAAAAAGTCGATTTTGCACTAAGAGAGATTCGTGAAGTAGAATGGATGCATTTACTACAAGCTACAGAATTATTAAAGTTAGACGATCCTTTACTCAAATCGTCCAACAATTTAGTCGAATATCAATCATTGGAGAAGTTATCCAGTTTTGAAGAAGCAATTACACAACTCAATGTTCAATTGACCAAGTTAGAAAACTTTGAGAAGGTTATGGAGAATTCAAGATTTTTATTGAGAACCACCCCATTTGAATTTTCATATATTGAGAATGAGTTAAAAATGCTACAACAACATTTCAACAATATCTCCTTAGAAAATGTCGAAAATATTGGCGAGTTAGCCAGTTTAATCAATAATGAGGTAATGTTCATTTTGAGTACCCGTTTACAGACCCAACTATTAATATTCAATGCTAAAGTACTTGAATGTATTGACGATGATGAAGTTGATATTGTTGAACTTGAGAAATACAAACTAGAGTTTCCTGTAATTCAGCACAATCTAGTTTTCCAAGAAGAGTCTTTCATTATCGAACCATCGTTGGCAGGAGGAAAGCAACAAGCATTGGAGCAAATAAATCAGATTGTAAAAATAGTTGAAAACCAACACATCATTCGAGAACTCACATCAGCAAGCAGTAAATTCACATCCATTTTGGACATAGATACTACGCAGACAGAGTTAAACAAAGCTATGAGGGAAATTGAAGTGTTATATGATGAAGCAGAGGAGTATATTTCGCAATGGAACTTACTACAATACTTGTGGGAATTGAACTTAGATTCCGAAGAAGATTTCGATAAAATTTTCAAATCTGACGAAGATGTAGCGTCTTGGTTTACGGTTACTCAAGAGATATTAAGTTATAGAAAAATCTATGATAGACCTGAACTGGTGAAGAATTTTGGTAAATTATTCTCCATCAATTTTGCAAAAGTACAGAATAGAGTTGCTTTGAAATTTGATGAGTTTCAAAAGCTGTTGTTACATAAATTTGCTATTAAAGCTCAAACGGAATTTGTTGCATTTAATCGTCAGTTACTCAATGCCAAAAAAATCCTTGAAGTACCACTCCAATTCCATGGAACCATTGAAAATTTAGTTTCCAATATTGATCATTATTTGAATTTCAATGCTAGCTTTGTCAGTTGGAAATCTACATTGGAAACATTATCAAAAATCCAAATTTTCTTGATGAGATACAGATATAAGTTCCCAGTAGAATGGTTATATGTTGAACAATTGGAGAATAACATCTCAATGGTTCAAACACTTTTGGATAAAAAGAAATTACTCATTGAAGAGAACTTGGAAGTTCTTGCATCAAAAATCAAATCAGAAGCGGCCAAAGCTAATGATTCTGTAAATTCCTTAGGCAAAGAGTGGCAAGTTAAGAAACCTATTGGTGGCAGTTTGAATCCTGGTATTGCTATGGTTGATTTAGGCAACTTTGAAAAAAGATTTGGCAAATTACATGGGTATATCAAGTCCATTGGAAATATTTCCAAACATTTCAACATATCTATTCCTTCGTTTGAAGATACACTGGTATCACTAGAAGAGATCAAGGATCTTAAATCTGTTTGGTCATCTGTGAATGTCTTGTGGGAAGAACTTGAGAGATTAAAGCAAACCAAATGGAATGAGCTTCAACCTAGACAACTTCATCATCAATTAGATGATTTGCTAAACATGGCAAGAAATTTGCCCATAAATGTCAGACAATATACTGCTGTAGATGAAATCCAAAATTCTGTTAAAATGTATTTGAAGAACCATCAAAAGCTTTCAGATTTGAGAAATGAATCCATGAAGCCACGACACTGGAAAATTTTGTTAAGTCAGCTAGGAATGCCAAGTATAGAATACGAGAAGTTAACTGTTGGCGATGTTTGGGCTTTGAATTTTACTTTGAATATCCAGACTATTAATGCTATTATTGAGCAAGCTGGTAATGAACAAACAATCGAAGAAAATTTGAAAAACATCAATTCTAACTGGTCAACCATTACTTTTGAGTTGTTCAATTATGAGAATAAATGCCGTCTTGTGAAAAACTGGGAGCTGTTGTTTGATCAATGCAACATCGACATGAATGCGTTGGCAAGTATGAAGAACTCACCATATTTCGGTTCATTTGAAAGAGAAATAAGTGAATTGGAGAAGAAATTGACTCAATTGTTTGTTATTTTGGATACTTGGATTGAAGTTCAACGTCAATGGTTGTACCTCGAAGGGGTCTTTGGAAACGAAAACAATGATATTAAGAACTTGTTACCAATTGAAAGTTCAAGATTTAACAACATCAGCTATGAGTTTTTGACATTGTTAAAGAGAATTTATAAATTCAACTTGGTGATTGATATTGTCTTGATTGGTGATTTAAGATCAAAGATGACCAAGTTTTCCGACAGTTTAACCAAAGTCAGAAAGTCATTAACTGAGTATCTTGAGAAACAAAGAGAATTGTTTCCTAGATTTTACTTTATTGGTAATGAGGATTTATTAGAAATAATGGGAGGTACAAATGACATTTCCCGAATCAATAATCATTTGAAGAAAATGTTCAGCGGGATTCAAAGCTTGCAATATACAAAGGAAAGTTCCTCCATTACAGGCGTTATAAGTGAACAAGGTGAGATATTAAGCTTGCGCACCCCAGTATCTTTGATTAAATTCAACAGATTGAACGAATGGTTAAGAGAAATGGAACTCGAAGTGAAATTAACCATGTCTCAATTAGTTAAAGAACATTTGGCGTACTGGGAAGAAAAATTGTATAACAAGGACGTGAATTTGTTACAACTCATTGATTCCGTCCCAGCACAAGTTGGAACCTTGTTACAACAAATTACTTTTACTAGAGCAGTAGAGAAAGCTGATGGTAGCCAGTTGAAAGCATTGTACGAAGATTTGTGTCGAGCAATTCAATCACTTACCCGTATTATTGGATCAGATATTCTGGAGTTAACAAGAAAGAAGATTCAGTATTTAATTATTGAGATCATTCATCAAAGAGACATAGCTCACAGATTAGTTCTGGCTGATGATGAATCCGAAAGGAAGTTTATTTGGAGTCTTCAACAAAAATTCTATTACAATAATCTGGAATCTGATTTACTCAAGAGTTTGGTGATTCGGCAAGCAAATTCAGAATTTATCTATGGATTTGAATATTTGGGAATACCGGAAAAATTAGCATACACACCTTTAACTGATGATTGTTTCTTATCGTTGGGACAAGCAATCGCGCAGAAACAAGGTGGCTCTCCATTTGGTCCTGCTGGTACCGGTAAAACTGAAACGGTTAAAGCATTGGGTCACAATTTAGGTAAGATGGTGATAGTTTTCTGTTGTGACGAATCGTTCGATTTCCAGTCTATGGGTAGAATTTTCCTTGGTTTATGTAAAGTGGGCATTTGGGGATGTTTTGATGAATTCAATAGATTGGATGATAAAAGTTTGAGTGCTATTTCTTCTCAAATTGAAAACATTGAATTTGGGTTGAAGAATCCGGCATCATTCATTTCAGTGTCGGAAAGGAATATCAAAATCAATTCAGAGACTGGTATTTTCATAACTATGAATCCTGGTTATGCTGGTAGAGTTGAGTTGCCAGAAAACTTGAAAAAGTTATTTAGAAGTTTCTCCATGGAAACCCCGGATAGTGAAATAATTGTTGAGATTTTGCTTACTTCACAGACGTTCGAATATTCGAAAGAATTGGCTGGTGTGATTGTACCATTTTTCAGAGAGTTATCAAGTGAAACTTCAAAACAATTACATTATGATTTCGGATTACGTGCATTGAAGAATACTTTAGTACGCTGTGGTCAAGCAAAGCGAAATGCACAAGTTCGTGATGATCAAAGGTATGAAAGAACTTGAGTACAGGTTGGTGGA